AAGTCGTCCGAAGCACGCGCCCGAAGCGGGCTCCGTGCTTCTTGGGCCCCCACAAGATGAACGCCTAAGCGCCCCAGTTGGATCCACAGAGCCTCGTTTCGGGCTCTCCTCGTGCGGCCCTTGGAGCCCCGCGCATGTTTGGTCGAAGCTGACTTAGCATTGCGCTGTGCCACATTGAGGGAAGGTGGTCTCCGTTTTAGCCTGTGCACTCTAAACAAAGGACAGGCCACCGACGCGCTGCTCCACCGCCCCATACGAGGGCCCAGGCATGCGCGCGAACTCCTGCCACTCAGGGAAAGGGGGGGCGGGCCCCGCAATGCCCCTGGCCCACCCCCAACCCCCTGGGAATATGCAAGACGGTGGACTCAACCAAGGCAAGGGGCACAGGAGGGGGGAACACCTTCTCTAACAAGGTAGAGCGAGCGAAGCAATCCAACAGGGAATTCCACGGGTGGCCCACATGTCCCCTGACATGCCCAATTCTCAGAGATATAGACTGCGAGAGGGTGAGCCAAACTGCGGCGGTGATCCTCGCTAGAGGGCCCGATGGGCGCGGCCCTGACTTGCCCTGCAGGGTTCGCGCAACATCGAGAGAATCAGACTCGAGGAAAAAAGGGGCACAGCAGCATCTGAAGATGAAAACAGAGAGAGCACAAAGAGAGCAGCCCAAAGTACTGCTGCATATTCTGCGTCGGTGCTGGATAGGGCGCGGGGCGGCAGACCTGCGCGCGCACCTGGCAGATCCCGACATCCACCCTGCAAATAATAACCCAGCGTCTCTGAGCAGAGCAATAAAGGCCCAAGCAGCCGAAGAGCCCCCCACACCCACACACACACACACACACCACCACCACCACCACCACCACCACCACCACCACCACCACCACCACCACCACCACCACCCCACCACACCCACCCCCCATGCTTAACGGACCCATCAGAGCATATATGAACGGAAGACCACTCACCATTGCGTTTAGGGCATAGTCGGAGAGTCAGCCTCAGGGGGCATCAGAGAGGCCATGGAGAGATCGTTAGACAAGGAGGGGAAAGGAGGGTGTCCCGGGGGTCAAAGGTCCCCTGAGCCCCTCACACATGGGGCCGCGCATTAGCCTTGCCAGCGACAGATCCGCGCAGCAAAGATTTTGATGCAAGAGAAGAAGGAGTGGGAATATTGCCTGGCGTTGCAAAGCTGGCGCAGCGAAGCAAGCACCAATGCCCGCAGTGGGGCGAGCGAGGAAATATTCTCGATCGCAACGTTACCGAGAGTAGAAAAGGGGACTGAAGCTGCGAAGCACCAGCGTGGCAATGTCTCCGCTGAATTCAACTTGGCCCTTTTGCGACCCATACTGAGAATAGCACCTTCAGCAATCTCAGATGCAATGACTTGCGCGCGCGCAATCTGCGCGCAGTGGGCGACATCTACGGCAGGGACAGAACTGGCCAGCAGCGAGCATAGCGCCCGGTCTTGCGCCACACCGCCCGCACCACCCTCAAAAAAAACAACCTCTCCCCCACCCCCACCTCGCCCAACATGCGCCCCAGGGGGGCGCGAGCGGTGACGGGGCCGCGCCTCGTGGATTACCCGGCGATCGCGCGAAGACCGGCCCGCAAGCAGAAGACCCCCCCCTCGCCCACGTCAGCCCCCACACCACCACCACACACCCAACCGTCATCAAACTTCGCCTGGCCTTGGCTCGGCTCTCGCGGATTGCCAAGCGATCGCTCAGCCAGGCAAACCGACGCCGATCTGGTAGCGGGGCAGGCTCTGAGACTCCTCCTCAACCTCCTACTCCTCCACCTAAGAGCCCTATCTCCCGCGCGCGACAGGCATCTGGATCCCTTGAACGGCTTTGGAGGGGGGGGGGGGGGGGGCGGGAAAGGAGCGCGCGGGGCATCGCCGCACGCGTAACTCCTGCGCCCAGGGGCCCCATGCCGAAAGTCGGGTGAGTCGGCTTCTTCGCCGACTGAGCTGCCAACTAGGGGGGGCTGACGTACTATGACCATGCACGCCGATATCTGCGCAGCAAACATAAGGACCGCCATTTGGCGGCAAACGTCGACTGATCTCGATCGCAGCAACCCATACGTTCAATTAACAAATTGGGCAAGTCATGGCAAAATGAGTTGCCCGCCTTCAAAATTTGACAAAACTGAGCCGAAGAAACTCCTTCCCCACTGGCAGCGCGCAGCAACATCTCTTCAGGAGGCGGGAAGCAGCAGCAGAGGAGGTCTCTCATGGATGAACGGTAGAAGTGAGCAAGGCGAGGAACGGGGGAGAGGACGCTCAACTGCCTCGCGGGCGGCTGCAAGGGGCCGACTATTCGGCTGCCCTCGCCTGCTTCCTCGGCGGGCTCAACGATTCGAACTCGCCTGCGGGCGCGGGCTCGTCGGCTGGCTCCACTGGCCATGCCATGGCTGCCCCCGCTGTCTCCTCGAGGGCCCGCGCTGCCTCCGCAACTGACTTGCGCTGAGTTGGCTGAGAGTCCTCTACGGTAATGACATCTCGGGCACAAGAAACTAAAGGCGGTGCCATCGCTGGGCCCTTCTCTGGCGGCTCCTCTGGGACAGAGGGGGATGTCGGCGAACACTTGAAAGAAGCTTGGAAGGTACCTGCGCAGCCTCTGTCTGCTCTGGAGCCGCCTGACTTGGCACCTCCTTCCTCGGCGCCAGATGCGTCGGCAGACCTGCGATCGGCGCAGGCGTCGCAAGTGTCATTTGAGCTGGCGGCGGCGCGGGCGAGCGGGCCCGCCCATGAGGTGGTGGCGGGACCTCCACGGGATCCACTGCTTGAGTCGGCTCCACCGCCTCCCTAGGAGAAGTTCCATCCACTCTGTGAGGGGGCTTGACGTCGCCAAGCGGCTGCATGAGGGCTGGCGGCGCTGGGCTTGTTGCATGCGCCGCCCCATCGCCCGCCAGCCCTCCACGTCATCCTGCAATCCTTCTCTCACTGCTTTTTGAACACTATGAACAGCATTCCCAAGCTGGCTGCTGACATAATCTTGATGGGCTGAGCGGGCCATGATCTGCCGCATCATCTGGAGCATCTACTGCATCTGCGGATCCTGAGTGGGCGCCGGCGGCGGCGATGGTGGCATCCTCGCAGGCGGCATGCCTGGCCCCATCCCCTGCGGCACCTGCTGATGATGTCCTGGGAAAGGGGCCGGGGCCGACTGGACCGTCTGGGCTGGCTGAGGCTGAGGAGCGGGCGGCGGCGGGGGCGCTCCCTGCTGAGCCCCTGGTACGCCTGCTGCTGCCCCTGCTGCAAATGTCCCGACGCCTATCCAATCACCGTCCATGTCGTCATCTTCCTCACGCTCGAAGTGCTCAAGCTCCCTAGCCTCGGCAATGTTGGCCTGGATCGACTCCAGCCATGCGGCGAACTGTGCCTCCTCATTGTGGAGTTTGTGGAACCTCTTTCGTGTATTGCTCAATATGTCCGTGATGGTGTCTTTCGTCTGCCTGAATCTGCCAATCTGGGTCGACGCCTTCTCAATGCCATTGACCATAAACTTCAGGCACGCTAGCTCCGCAATTATACTGTCGTTGGCCTTGTTCGCCTGGCGCGCAGCTATGGCGAGGGACGCAAGCGCGTCCATCCTGTTGTACAACTTCTTGTTCCACTGCCAGATTGCTGATGCCTCCGTCGGAGGGTCCTCAAATTTGGACGCATATGGCATGCGAGGAGGCGAACCGAAATCTGCTTGTGTGACCGGGACAAGAGTGGCAATGAAGGATATGAGCAAGCGGTCCCTCGGCATTGATGGTTCACGTGTCTGTCCTTTGCCTTCTCGCGGCTGACTGAGAGGTCTTGCTGGGTGCCCTCGCTCAAGCGCGTGTCCAAAGGGGCCCCCTTTCCTAACATTTTTGTCAAAATGAAGACCGCACAAGAATTTCCAATGATGACCCTTGACCGTCCGATGGCAGTTCTCACAATGCCAAGTGCCTCCTGGCTTGGGCCCTTGTTGGCGTCTCTGGATATGATGTGCATGTTCTCTGCCTCCTGCTGCTGCCGACAATGATGCGAGCGAAGAAGATTAGCTGCCTGATGTATTATCAAAGGACTCGCGCTCTGCCTCGATGCTGTCTCAACCTTCTGTGCCAGGCGGCTCTGGCTTGGATCTCTTACCTGCCGTTGTGCACAAAGAAGATGTACAGTGAGCACGTACAGTCTGGGGAAGGGAAATGGGAATGGCGCGGCAAAAGCACGCGTGAGGGTCGGGCTGCACCTGGCCTGTCACACCAATATTCGGGGTCGGTGACGGCCAGGTTTTGGAGCCCAACGCCCTCTTATCCTCCTCCTTTTCCTCCTCCTCCTCCTCCTCCTTCTCCTCCTCCTCCTCCTCCTCCTCCTCCTGACGCCCCCGACGCTCCTGGCGTCCGCGCGTGAATACGAGAAGGCCTCTCAGAAGGCTGAGGGCCTCTCTCAGTGGGACGCCCGAAATGGGATACAGGAAAACTGGGTGCGATGCCCAACAACAGGTGTTGTCCAAAATCGACAGCGGCCGCTGTTGGGCAGGCGGCATTTTGCCCCAGATGGATAGCGTCCGCACCGACACCGACAGCAAGTCCTGTTCAAAACGAACACGAAATGCGGTCGGTCTTTGTACCGATTCTTCCCGTACCCATTTCGATTGCCCCGATCTCAGAAATCCTCCACGCCTTCTTGGAAGGCCGGACCCCCTCTTGGCATCACGCCGGGGGGGTCCTGGCCCCGACACCAGCATCTTATCGTGAGTCGCGTGTTGACGGTCTTGGCGCCATGGGAATGCCCAGGAGCACAAAAAAGGCGACCTCCTCCTCCTGCTCCTCCTCCTCCTCATCATCACCATCCTGCTCCTCCTCCTCCTCCTCCTCCTCCTCCTCTTCCTCCTCTTCCTCGTCCTCCTCTTCCTCGTCCTCCTCCTGCTCCTCCTCCTCGTCCTCCTCGTCCTCCTCCTCCTCCTCCTCCTTCTCCCCCCCTCCTCCTCCGCCTCCTCCTCGCGTGGCGAAAGAAATGCCTTTCCTTCCGTGCGACCCCTCGCCACGCCCCCTGGCGCGCGCCGCCGAAAAAATCTGGCTGCCCCGTCGGAGCGCCACTCCTGATCTCGCAGCGGCGGCGCCCGAGCGAGGGCGCCGACGCACCAGCGACAGAACAGGTCATATCCTCGTGCGCCAGCAAGAAGCAACTCCGCACCATCAGACCTATCACTCATCCCCAGTGTGGCCAGGGTTCCCTTGGCGCCACCAGCCTGCACCCTCGAGGTGCGTATGGGTTGGATGCCGCGAAACCTGACGGAGATGACGTCTATCCCGACCTGGGGGGAATGGGGAGGAGGAGGAGGAGGAGGAGGAGGAAGAGAAGAGAAGGAGGAGGAGGAGGGAGGAGGGAGGAGGAGGAGGAGGAGGAGGAGGAGGAGAAGGTAGAACAGCGGGACCAAGGTTTTCAAGGGCGCGCGTCCTCCTTGGTAGTGCGGACGCGATGTCCGCGTCCCGCTCGAGACAGTTACCACCTCCACCTCGAGGAGGCATTGTGGACCCCCTTGCCGGAAGTGGCCCGTTGGTGGTGATACCGCTTCGGCCTACAACCCCCCAACAAAACCTTACTGAAGGCTGATGTGCTCGAGGGCGTTATGTATGTGCGCAACCATGGCGTTGCGCAAAGGTTGGCAACGCCATCTGCATTAGCGATCGCAAGTGCTTCAATTCGGATCGCGATGATGGAAGCAGCAGCGCTTGCGACGCTGATAATAGTAGCGGCAGCACGCTTATGGTTAATGGGAACGGCGATGACGAGGATAATATGGACTGTGGCCATGACCGTGGCCATGAGCGCAGCGATGGGGCAAATCACGCTTCGGACGTCGATGGGTCAGGCGGTCAGCTCGGCAAACAGCAAGCAAATAAGTCCTATCGCAATAGGGCCCTGCGGGCAACGCTGCAAAGTGAAGCGGGTGCTCGCCCTGACCAGTCGCGGAATCGATGCATACGCCTTCCGGGCGAGGCCTGGAAGGTGTATATTCCGAGAACCAACGCCGTGGAGAAAAACACGACGTCGCGGAAAATCATGCCCAGAACCCCCGACACCACCTTTGGGGGCCGCTGCTCGAAGGAGGAGTAGGGATCTGTCAGCGCCTGGTGGTCCCAAAACTGGGCTTCCGCGACGCCCAGATCTGAGGGCACCCTGCTCCTGAGCCCCGGATCGGCCCAGCCAGGACCTATGGCGGCGCGGAGTACGACCAGGAACTCCTGCTCAGCGTGTCGCGGCGACGGCCCCTGCGACACGCAGTGCCCTGCGAGCTGATGGCGGGTCGCCCTGCTTCGTGGGACGGGAGGCTGGGCATGGCTCCTACTGCTGACACCCGGGCACTGGGACGTGCCTGACGTGTCGCGCCGAAGCGCAAGTGGGCCAGGACCGGCGAGGCGATCCTGGACCGCACATGGCATTCCCCGAAAGCCGAGCAGTGCAAAAGGCGTCCCCGAAGCCTCCAGCCTTTCACACCACTGTGGTGGAGCCCCTGGGGCCCTCTGGGCCTCGTGAGGGGCTCTCTGGAGGCTGTGTGGGGGCCCGCTCGGAAATCCTGGGAGCGGCCCGCGGGTCTGCGCTGGTTGAGCCCTGAGAAAATCGGTCAAGAGAAGGGGATGAAGCCAAATCTGGTCAAAATCGGTCCCCAGACCCCTCCTGGGGTCCATCTGGTGCTGCTTTTCACCCCGGCTCCGTTTTCGAAGTCCCGAGCCCTGAAACGGCCCCAAGAGGCCGAAAAAGACCCAGAACCTTCCCGAACCCAGAACCTCGAAGCTCGGCCCCCCTCCCTGCTGGCCGGAACCAGTGCTAGGCTCCCACTGGCCCCCAGCCAACCCCTAGGCCAGGGTACTTCTGGCAGCACCCCTGACAATTAGATGTTTGTTCTGGGGACCTGCATGGAGACACTCGCTCCACTCATGCGTCGATGCCGCGTCGAACGTCCGTCGACTTGAGTCGACCTTGAGTCGAGCTTGAGTCGCGCTTGAGTCGAGCTAGATTCGAACTAGAGTCGAGCTAGAGTCGAGCAGGTCTGTTAGGTGGGCCCCAAGAAGATCCCCCAAATGAACACCTAACGACAAGGTGCCTCGGAGGGAGCGCCACCGCTGCGCTCTCCACAGGGCCGCCCTTGGGACCCCCGCGGGCGCCTGGTCCTCCCTGGCTGCCAGTCTGAATCGTCGCCTATCTCCGCCAGCAAGATACCTACTCGCGGCCCCTAGCAGAGGCTGTGCAACAGAGGGGGCAGGTGTGGAAGGGGGGTACGTTCGCACGCATAGCTTCTGGTTGCTCTACGCGCCGCCACGCTGCTAACAGCTGCTGGAGTTGTTTGGTGCACCTAGAAGGAAGGAATCGAACAGGGCGGGACTGTCCAGTAACCCAGGAGGCCCCAAGAGGCGCCCAAGAGGCCCCAAGAGGCCCCAAGAGGCCCCCGAGAGGCCCAAGAGAGGCCCAAGAGCATTTCCAAGACAACCTCAAGAGGGAAAAAATCCAGGATCTTCCACTAACAGTTTTCGAATGTTTTTCGTCGTCGTCGTCGTCCTCGTCGTCGTCGTCGTCCGTCGTCCCCCTTTCAGGGTCGGCGGCACCAGCCGTAAGGCCATCGCAATCGAACAGGGCAGGGCTGTTTAGCAAACGCCCAGGACTGTCCAGCAAGCGCCAACTATGGGGTTCGCGGTGGCTTTTCCTCCTGGTGGGCCCGGAATCGAGCCCGTCCGGCTGCCAAGCTCGGGTGTTGCTAGAGGCGTTCCTGGCCCGCGGTGTCTCAAGCTTGTCGTGCCGTTCTTCGGAGCTGGCCAGGGCCCCCTCTGGGCCTCGTGAGGAGTGCTCTGGAGGCGCCTCGGGCCTTGCAGAAACGTCCCGGGGACACCCTGGGCCAAGGACGAACGGGCCACACTGACACCACCGTGCGTGAGGTATCCCGGTGATCTCTGGAAGTCCGAGGAGGCCTCCAGGGGTCTCCCAGGGGAGGCCTCCGGAACAGCAGATGAGAGAGAGGAGGGGGCGGCGGGGGGGCGAACGTGCCCACGCGTACCCAGTGTGACGGGCCATTACTAACTCTCCCCACGAACTCACCTTAACAACTCCCCCACTGACTCCTCTCACTAACTCTCCATACTGGCTCCCCCTGCCTGCTCCCCGAGACCTTCAACGCATTGAAAAGTCGGGACGGAGGGCTTCAATCGTTTTCGGCCCTGGAGGCCCTCGCCGGGCCTCCAGAAACCACTCAGGGTGAAAAACCCGTCCCCGGGGAGCGGATTGGCACCTCCAGGGGCCGCGCGTGGGAAAAAGACACAGAGGACAGCGGATCGATGGGCCGGCGGCGACCACGGGAGCAGCCGCGCGCCTGGGGACGAAGGAAGACCGTTCGGGCCAGCCCCCTCATCTGATCCTGAAGGGGCCCTGGGACACACAAATAAATACACACAAATAACAGGATTCCCCTATAGTTTCTCATATTTTCTGGGTTTTCGTCTTGCCCCCTATTTTCCTGTATTTTCTAGGTTTTCGTCTTCCCCCCCGAATCCCATATTTTCCCATATGTTCCTGGGACTCGATTAATTGTGTCTGTGTGTTCTTTCTCCTCCTGACCCTCATCTGATCTGAAAAACTGCCGGAGACGCAGCTGGTCCCCTCGCCCCGATCTACACAGACGGTACCTCTATACACAGGATGGCCTCAGCCACGCAGAGTGACGACCATGCACGCTTCTGCGGAGGGGCGACCACGGCCGAAATCAGCCCACAATCGGTCCCAAGACCCCTCGTGGGTCCACTCAGGGCACTCCGGATTTCTTACGAATCTTACGAAGCGTAGGGGGGTACCCCCCCCCCGACAGGGGTCACCCTCGCCTCGTCGTCGCGCTGCGACGGGGGTCGGAGCGCCTTCGGCGCCCGCTGGCTGGCCGCGACGGGGGTCGATGTGGGGCTGTCGGCGGGAGTGACGCCCCCCCGACGCTGATTAAGAAACTCGGAGGAACCAGCCCGGATCGATGCGTCACGGTGTCGTTCGTGCTTCTGTTCGCGACGTGGCTCCGCAGAGGTCTGGACCCCTTCTCTGGGACAGGCTTTTCACCCTGAGCCGTTTTTGTAAAGGGGCCCTGGGACACACAAATAACTACACACAAATCCGAGGATCCCCCATATTTTCAAATATTTTCTGGATTCTTGTCTTCCCAACCAGTTCCCGTACATTCCTGGGAGTCGACGATGAATTGCGTCTGTGTGTTATTTTCCCTCCTGATGTTGACGGTCCCGGGGCCCGGCGAGAGCCCCGCCAGGGGGGTCGACCTTCGGGGGCCTCCGCGGGCGGTGGACGTGGACGTCTTTGGCCACCGCAGGGCCCGAACAGATGCACGACTGCCGAGGTCACCCTTTGGAACGCCCTCGGCGAGGCACAAAGGCTTCAGAGCATCCCGAGGCTGGAGAACCGCCGGGAACCAACGAAAACGCCCGAAACCTTGAACCACGAACCCTTAGACGAACCGACACTGAGATCCTCCTCATGTTCTTCTTCTTCTTCTTCTTCATCCTCCTCCTCTTCGACCATCCCGTGTCCTTTAAAGATAACCCGTCCCTGTCGCACCCCCAGACGTGTCGGTAGGGCGAACCAGGCGTTTCGCCTGAGACTTCCTCACCACTTATGCTCCTGAAGCATAAGAAATTGTAACAGCTTCAAGGATTGAGGCATTTTTTTCAAAATGTAGCTCTCGCCTTAGCGCCGCGTACATTCGCCTTGAAGTGCGCAACAGAATCAAAGATGGAGGGCGGGTCGTTTTACAATGCGGTTTTCGCCTCAGCGCCGCGCACGTTCGTCCTGGAAGTTCGCAGCAGCTTCAAAGATACAGGGCGGGCCGTGTTCAGAATGCTGCTCTCGCCGGAACACCGCGCACACTTATCTGAGGCCTGCAGCAGCTGCCAGGCGCTGGCCGGGATGCGCCGCTCGCACATGCTCTGATGGGCCTGTTTTCCACCACCGCCATCGTAAGTTGGAGGGGGGAAGGAGGAGGAGGAGGAGGAGGAGCCCCTCCCCCTCCAACTTATGGTGGTGGTGGTGATGGTGGAAAACAGGCCCATCACGCACATGCTCGGATCCGGCTTCCTCAGGAGGCGACTGCGCCCGAGCGCCTGCAGCGCGTGCCCGGCGCCCGCTGCGGACGCCGAGGAGCAAGCGGGCCGGGCGGCCTCCCCCAGGGCTTTTCCGGAGGAGGCCTGCAGTCGCTGCCAGGCGCTGGCCCCTCCTCCTCCTCCCCCTCCTCCTCCTCCCCCTCCTATTCCTCTCTCCATCTCCTCCTCCTCCTCCTCCTCCCCCTCCTCCTCCTCCTCCCCCTCCCTCCTCCACCTCCTCCTCCTCCTCCTCTCCTCCTCCTCCTCCTCCTCCTCCTCCTCCTCCTCCTACTCCCTCCTCCTCCTCCTCCTCCTCCTCCTCCCCCCTCCTCCACCCCCCCTGGTCGTCCGACCCGACAGTCGGGGGGGGGGGGGGGCGGAAGGGCGGGGCAGGGGCAGAGGTGGGGCAGGAGGAAGCTCGCTTGGAGCGGCCCGTGCAGGAAGTCAACGGGAGCATCCAGTCGGGTGGGTTCCCCCTACAGGGGGACTTTCGACGACTAGTAGAGCATACTCAGAACGTACTCCAAAATGGTCAAAAAATATGCAGAAAATGGTCCCCAGATTATTTGTTTGACTATTTTTCGATATTCCCCCTGTAGAGGTCGGGAGAGCGGCCAAGAGGGGGGTGTCCAAGAGGGGGGGGCGCAAATCATGACCGGCGGCACGTGCGCGGCCCAGCGGGGAGGCCAGGCACGCAATGAAATAAGAAGAGGCGCCATGAGATCTGGAGAAAGATCATGACCCCCGCCATGATATCCGCCCCCCCCTAATCATCACCCCCCTCTTTTCCGCCCCCGAAGAAGGAAGATCGCTCAGAACGGCTGAGAGGAAGAGACGGAAGACGGCTCAGAGCGGCTCAGGTCCCCTTACAGGAGGAGGACCACTCAGAACGGCTCAGAACGGCCCAGAAGGTTCCCTTACAGAAGGAAGATGGCTTAGAACGGTTCCCTTCCGGGTGTCCAACCAAGAGGAAGATCGCTCAGAACGGGCCGTGCAGGAAGGAAACGGGAGTATCCAGCCGGGAAACAGGAGTACCCCACCTGGGCGACGAAAAAAAACTTATCTTGCGCGAGATGGCATAGCGACCTTACGCTGCATCTGAAAGGCGGGCCGCCAGTGCGGCACGCTGCGCTGGAGACGAAGGTGCCCGCGCGCGACCTTACGCGGGCAGCTTACGTGACTCCGGTTATTGCCGTTGCTCACCTTGGGATACCCGCCACTCGGAAGATGCAGGTAGAAACATGAAGTAGACAGGCGGGTAGAGTAGATCTGCTTCGGGCCCGCCCAGGGAGTAGCAATAGGCGAAACTGTGATCGTGGAATCCGAAGATACCCACTTCAAACGACCAGCGCGTACCCCCCAGGACCTTCCCTCGGGACGAGACCTTCTTGGGCGCCCGAGTTATCCGGGGTAACTCGGGTCCGGGGTAACTCGGGTTTGGATTCCCGAACAAGGAACCCGAGTTAGCCCTGACCCGAGTTACCCCTGATGATGTGGGGCTCTGGACGCCCGAGTTATCCGGGGTAACTCGGGTCCTGGGTAACTCGGGTTTGGATTCCCGAAAAACGAACCCGAGTTATCCCTGACCCGAGTTACCCCTGATGATTCGGGGCTCTGACCTTCATCCTGGACCCTGGGACCTTCTCCCAGGACGAGATCCTCATCCTGAGTCGTCCTCTGGCAGCCCCGGGCCCGGGCCCGTGGAGGACGCCGAGGGCCAGAAGACGGCGGCAGACCTCAGGACCCGCCTCCCCCGTGGCCATCACCCTGGGAGAACCCCCGAGATGATGGGCCTGTTTTCCACCACCACCACCACCACCACCATAAGCAGGAGGGGGAGGGGCCCTCCTCCTCCCCCTCCTCCTCCCCCCTCCTCCTCCTCCTCCTCTCCTCCTCCTCTCCTCCTCCTCCTCCTCCTCCTCCTCCCCCCCTCCTCCCCCTCCTCATCCTCCCCCCCCTCCTCCTCCCCCTCTCCTCCTCCTCCCCCTCCTCCTCCTCCTCCTCCTCCTCCTCCTCCTCGCCCTCCCCTCCCTCCTCCTCCTCGCCCTCCCCCTCCTCCTCCTCCTCCCCCTCCTCCTCCTCCTCCTCGTCCTCCTCCCTCCCCCCTCCAACTTCTGGTGGTGGTGGTGGAAGACAGGCCCCTCACGAGACAGCCGGCGCGAGACGGCGCCTCTTGCCGGCCCGCCCCCGGGGGTGCGCACCCCGCCCCGGCGGGCGCGCGCCGCCTTGCGCGGCGCCAGGGCCGAGCGCGCGGCCGACGACGCGCCCTACTCCTCCTCCTCCGCCTCCTCCTCCTCCTCCTCCTCCTCCTCCTCCTCCTCCTCCTCTCCTCCTCCTCCTCCTCCCCCTCCTCCTCCTCCTCCTCCCCCTCCTCCTCCTCCTCCTCCTCCTCCTCCTCCTCCTCCTTCTCCTCCTCCCATCCTATTCCTCCTCCCCCTCCTCCTCCTCCTCCCCCTCCTCCTCCTCCTCCTCCTCCTCCTCCTCCTCCTCCTCCTCCTCCTCCTCCTCCTCCTCCTCCCTGGCTCGGCACGTGGCGTGGTGGGAGGCATCGGCTGCCGCGGGCCCTCGCGCGTCGGGGAACGACGGAGCAGCCGTGCGACCACTCGAGAAGGGGATCGACTGCAGTCTCGAGAGTTGGTTCACCCCAGACTTCAGCTCTTCGTCGAATCTGCGAACATACCAGTAATGTTCGTAATTAGGTCTGTGTCGTAGACCCGACGAGAAGAAGTCAATCTGGGGGTAAATCCTCAATCTTGCAGACCTCCTACAGCCGAACATACGATCAATGAAATTACCATTTAAGAAACCTGGGCTAACTTTCCGGAGACTTCGTACCCGAAGTTTCTTCCACGAGAACTTCAGGGACGATGGCTCAGGTCGGGGCCAAGTGTTCGAGCCTTCGTGCCAACGCTGGAGGGGCGCTCCAGAAACGGGAGCCGGTCTTCCGGGCAAGCGGCCTCAGACACGCTGGCCCAGCTGCTCGGGAGGAGGCTTCTTCACCAGCTGCTCGGCTGCACTGCTCGACTGGAGAAGCGCCGAGCACAGGGAGCGAAGGGGGCCCTCCGCCAGGCCACGCCGCGCCCCGCCCACGTGCAGGCTCCCCCTTGGGCCTGGATCTGAGGAGCGGCCCGACAGCCGGAGCCCCTGCGGAGCCCGAAGTGGTCCTTCTTCCGAGGGGGGTCCAGAGGAGGGAGCCCACAAAGGAAGTACGCGCCCAGCTATGCACATGAACACGGCCCCTCGATCTGCGAGACGGGCCGCGTCAGACGAATATTTGCGCAGCGCGTACTCTCGAAGCCAGCGTGGATTCATGTACGTGTACGTCCTTCTTTCGCTCCTGACAGAAGGGGGTTTAAGGGGGTTTGGGGGGGAGGGGGTTCCAGGAGGGGTCCCCCAGGGGCCTCGCACCCCATGTCTTGACGAGGCTCCGAGGCCCCTGGTGGGCTCCCTGGGAAACCCCCCTCCCCAAAAAACCCCGTTTGGCACCCTCCGATTCTTCCGGTGGCTGTACAGCCGGACCCCAGGACGGAAGGGCATCCTCCAAGAGCAGGAGACCCTCCGCCGAACCTCCTGCGCAGAGGCGTGCCTTCCGCGGGCTGCCGGGGCGCTTCCTCGCTCGCCCGGCGGCACACATACACACATACACACACACACACACACACACACACTTTGCTCACGCGCGCTGTCCCGAACGCTGCCCAAGCTTTCCCCAAGATATGACTACCTACCAGACCACCCCAACCCAACCCGAAGACCCGAATTTCGGGTTGGGGGGGGTAAGGGTTCCACATGTGTTGTTTCTATGTTTCCTGACCCCCCCCCACTGGAAATCGAGGGTAATTCTGAGCCTTCGGGTTGGGTTGGGGTGGTTTGGTGGGTGGTGAAGATAGCAGATCGCCCGAAGATTCTTCGTGATTTGTGTCGCGTAAGGGTCGCTACCCAGGGAGAGGTGGTGCCCCGAGTGACGGTGACGCGTTGGCAGGGTGGGGCACGCCAGGGCGGGGTGCGCTGCGATCGCCATGGTATGCGCACGCTTCTTGGAGGGTCCAGGCCCCCCCCAACAAAAACTGGACGATCGTCACCGTTACCGGGGGGGGGGGGGCTGGGTCACGAACGTGACGCGCCAGAGGGTCAAAGAAATGAACCCGGCGCGACCCCAGACAGGGGGAACGTTTCCTGCTGCACGGGCGCATTGCTTGGCATTGCTTGGCGTTGCCTGGCATTGCTTGGCAGTGCTTTGCAGTGCTTCGCGTTGCTTGGCAGTGCTTGGAACGGGCACAACAAGAATACCAGGCACTGGGCGTAGGGAACCCAAGGAACCCGAGGAACCCGAGGAATCTGGGAACCTGGAGAACACGGGGAACCCGGGGAGTCGCCGAGGAACGGGCAAATAGGGTCCACCAATATTTAGCCAAGTAAGAACCCCTTTGGCAAGCCTAATTGGGGAACAGTCTCCCAGGCATCGTTTCTGGATGCGCTTTGGGGATGTCCGATGCGTCGAGAACTTGCTCGCACTGCGGGTCTCGGCAGAACCATCCTACACGGAGTGGCCAAAGCCTGCTCGCGACACCTCGATGCTGCGCTAGCGCGCAGCCTACCGCAGGCGGCTGGATGACCGAGAGGGCACGTCGCTGGACGCCAGGCGAGGGCATCAACAGAATCGGGGCGCTACGCCAGACACTTCACATGTCCAGCATAGCTGAGATCTGTCAATCCGCCAGCCCACTATGGTAGAGCAAGAAAAACGGCATGCACGCAAATATGCGACGGTCCGCGCGGATGTCTTGGATCGGCACTGGAACCGCCTACCTGGCGCGCAGAGCGCGCCAGGGGCGGCGCTGAAGGCCGCCAGGTGGTTGCAGCACAGATCCCAGACATCCGCGCAGAGCTCCGAAAGTGTATATCTATGCCGTTTTTTTCAGATGCGGTTTGTGGGCGCAAGGCTGTGAATGACCCTGCTGGACCGCTGTCCTACCGATGAATCTGGTCGTCTCTTTCTTCCGTCCGTCCATCTGTCTTCCGGGCTCTCTCTCTGAGCCGCCTCGCTGAGAACGTCTTAGCTCTGGGAGGCGTCGGACCCCGCCGCGCTCTCCCGTCGGTGGCCCTGACGAGGTTAGGGGAGAGGTTGCCGAAACGCGCCCACAGGATCAGCAAGGCATAACGCCCTTGGCGACTGAAGACCTCTTTTCAGTTTTCTAGAGCACGTATGAGAGTACTGTATAGCAGACTGCACAATTACATACTAGAACCACGCGCGCTCTTCGCGCGCGCGCGCTCAGGTTCTAGTCGACCCCGAAGACGGTGTCACTTTCCATGGGACCTTTTCCATGTGGTCTTCCGGGTTCCTCCCTTTCACACATGCGTGATTTTCGTGCGGATACTGCGAAGTTCAAGGAAGGGTTTGGCCTGTAGCGTACCAGCGACGACCGACGACGACGACGACGACGACGACGACAACGACGGACCACCGACGATCAGCATCATTGTCACCTGATCCACCACGTGTGCGGGAGAGGCGTTTCCAGAGCGTCTTGCGGGCGTCATGGGGGCATCCTCGGGCCTCGACATTGGGTGGGCGGGTCGGTGGGTGCAGCCAGGGCCACGTGTTCCGAAGGGCTGTTCCGGAGCATGGAGGACGAAGGGCTTCTGGCGGGCTTCTGGCGGTCTGTGTAGAGGCCTCCTGCGAGCTCGGTGGGGATTTCTCGGGAGCTTCTCGGGTCTTTCTGGAGCCTTAATGGTGGCTTTTTTGGGGCGTCGTGGAGGCCTCCTGGGAGTCTCTTGGGGCCTCCTGGGGGCCTCTTGGGGCAGAGGTCGCCTCTGTTCGGGCATTTGCGGGGCTCTCTGGAGCCTCTTGGGAATATCTTGGGCCAGCTTGGGAGCCTCTGGAGGGGTCCGGGGCCCCTTCTGAACCCTCTTGGAGCCCTCAAGGCCCCCCAAGCCCCCCATGCGAACCAGAGGTCGCAGTTCTGGGCCCATCCCGCAACCATGTCTGGGTTGTGGGTTAAAGGCTTCTCGGATGTTCGCTGGGATGATGTCATGGGATGCCTCTCGGGGGGCCTCTGGAAGCAGGTTTGAAGCCTCCACGGGGGCGTTCGGACCTCTCTTCGGCATCTTTGGGGCCTCTTTGGAGCCTCTTGGAGCCACTTGGGGGCCTCTTGTGGCCTCCTGGGGCGCGGGAAACTCGAAAGGTCGATTCGCGTTCCCTCTCTTGGGCCCATCTTGGAGCCGTCTTCAGGCCCTCTTCAGGCCCTCTCGGGCAGTCTTGGGGGCCTCTTGGGGGCCTCTTGGGGCGACGTTGGAGGCTTCTTGGGCAGTCTTGGAGTGTCGGCCGCTCAAAACGTGAGAAGCAACAAATATTGGAAACACGCAATGACAATCACTAATTTTGGCGTCTTGGGGCTCGCTTGGAGGTCCTCGCGGAGAGACCTTGGGGCATCTTGGAGGCCTCTTGGGCCGATCATGGGGCCATCTTGGGCGGCTTGGAGCGCTCTTGGGCCGTCTTGGCGGCTTCTTGCCGTCTTTAGAAGCCTAAGTGGACACCTCGGGGCGGGGAAGCGGAAAAAGTTCTGGGACTCCGAAAACGGACCCCTGAATGCCAAAAAAGGCCCCCGCAGCCCAGGGGGCAAATTCGGTTACGGGGGGGGGAAATTGGGAAAAGTGTGCGACCCTGGGCCGCGGGGCCCCAGACGCCGCTTATATTATATACTGTTCATGTATATGTGAGACCACTCTTTGGGTGGTAAGGAGGTTTGGGAGGTGCAGGTTCCGGTTAACGAATGGCGCCGGATCGGATTCGCGCTATAGATGTGTATACATGCACATATCTAAATGAAGATTTTCGGTATCTCTCAATCGACCCCTCTACAGACTGGAATCATAATCTATCAGTCGACATGTGTGTATATATATATATATGCGTATGTACATGCGTAGAGTCTATAAATATATACAAGTGGCACGTGCGTGCCCAGGCTCATGCAAACGCATGTACAAGATGTGTGCGTTGTGTGTGAAGAATGTACGACGCGTGTTGTGTGTTGTGCACATGCTGTGTGTTGTGTGTTTGATGTGTGTGAGTTCTGTGTGAGCTGTGTGTGTTCTGCGTCTTATGTGTATTAGGCGTGGTGTGTATATGAGCGCTGTGTGTGTTGCTTGTGTTGGATGTGTTTTATGTGGCGTGTGTGTAGTATGTGTGCTGTAAGTGTAGTGTGTGTTCTGTGTGCGTTGTGTGTATGTGTCTGGTTGTGTGCTTGTGTGTGTGCGCGTGTGCGCGTGCGTGTGTCTGTGTGTGCTGTGTGTGTCGTCTGTGTTATGTGTCTTGTAGGTGTTATGTGTGTGATGTGTGTGGTGTGTTGTGTGTGCGCGCGCGTGTGTGTGTGTGTGTGGGTGTGTGGGTGGGTGGGTGTATGTATGCGTGTGTGTGCGTGTGTGCGTGTGTGTGTGTGTGCGTGTGTGCGTGCGTGCGCGTGTGCGTATGCGTGTGCGTATGCGTGTGTGTGAGTGTATGTCTGTGTCTGTGTCTGTATATGTGTCTGTGCCTGTGTCTGTATTTGTGTCTGTGTCTGTGTATGTAACTGTGAGTGTTGTGTGTGGGCGTTTGTGTGTTTGCGGGTGCGGGTGCGCGTGAGGGTGCAGGTGCGGGTGCGGGTGCGGGTGCGGGTGCGAGTGGGGGTGGGGGGTGGGGGTGGGAGTGGGGGTGAGGGTGGGGGTCGAGCTAGCCAGCTCGAGCGAGTCAAGCATGGCATGCCCATTCCCGCCCGCCCTCCCACAACATAAGAAACAGTGATGGCACAACTGGGGGCTGCGCGGGCATTTCAGTGCGAGTGGAGGATACCCCAGGACACCGCATTGACGTCCGCGCGGGATGTGCGCCGCGTCCCATTCCCGCCACGCATTTCGCATCGTCGACGACAAGACTGGCCATGTTGAAAGGAACAACGGACACGTTCCGCCCTCCCACAACATAAGAAACAATGCTGGCGCAACTGGGTGCTGGCGCGTAAGTAGTAGTAGTAGTAGTAGTAGTAGTAGTAGTAGTAGTAGTAGTAGTAGTAGTAGTAGTAGTAGTAGTAGTAGTAGTAGTAGTAGTAGTGGTGGTAGTAGTAGTAGAAGTAGTAAAGTAGATGTAGTAGTAGTAGTTGTTGTTGTAGATGTAGTAGTTGTCGTAGTAGTACTAGTATTAGTAGTAGTAGTGGTAGTGGTAGTGGTAGTGGTAGTGGTAGTAGTAGTAGTAGTAGTAGTAGTAGTAGTAGTAGTCCGTAGTAGTAGTAGTAGTAGTAGTAGTAGTAGTAGTAGTAGTAGTAGTAGTAGTAGTAGTAGTAGTAGTAGAGTGGGGATACGAATAGGTAATAGTACTAGTAGTACGAATAATAACACGAGTCGTAAAAGCAGAACTACTACAGGGAGTACAAGTACTCGTACGAGCAGTAGTACAGAGTAGTAGCACTATGGAAGTAGAAGTACCAGTAATACTTGTACGACTGCTAGACTAGTAGTAACACAATTGGTAATACACGTTGCAGAACAAGTAGTAGCAGGAGTAGTAGTAGTAGTAGTAGTAGTAGTAGTAGTAGTAGAAGTAGTAGTAGTAGTCGTACCAATGGTACTGGTAGCACGACTCCGGATGGGAGGGCTCGCAGCCCGCAAGGACGTCCGCGCGCGATGTGCGCCGCGTCCCATTCCAGCCACATATTTCGCAACGTCGGCGACAAGGCAGGCCATGCTGAGAGGAAAAAACAAAGACTTTGTATTGATTGTTTACAGTCAGGGTGGGCGGGCCCAGATTGACTGCCGCGCACGATGTGCGCCGCGTCCCATTCCTGCCACGCTTTTCGCATCGTCGACGACAAGACTGGCCATGTTGAAACGAACAACGGACACGTTCCGCCCTCACACACCACAAGAAACAATGCTGGCGCAACTGGGTGCTGGCGCGTAGTGGTCGTAGTGGTCGCAGTGGTAGTAGTAGTAGTAGTAGTAGTAGTAGTAGTAGTCGTAGTAGTAGTAGTAGTAGTAGTAGTAGTAGTAGTAGTAGTAGTAGTAGTAGTAGTAGTAGTAGTAGTGGTAGTAGTAGTAGTAATAGTAATAGTAGTAGTAGTAGTAGTAGTAGTAGTAGTAGTAGTAGTAGTAGTAGTAATAGTACTAGTACTAGTAGTAGTAGTAGTAGTAGTAGTAGTAGTAGTAGTAGTAGTAGTAGTAGTAGTTGCTGTAGTAGCTGTAGCAGTTGTAGTCGTAGAACTAGTAGTGGCAGTAGTAGTGGTAGTGGTAGTAGTAGTAGTAGTAGTAGAAGTAGTGGTAGTAGTCGTAGTAGTAGTGGTAGTAGTAGTAGTAGTCGTAGCAGTAGTAGTAGTAGTAGTAGTAGTAGTAGTAGTAGTAGTGGGGATACGAATAGGTAGCAGTACTAGTAGTACGAGTAATAATACGAGTCGTATAAGCAGAACTACTACATGTAGTAGAAGTACTCGTACGAGTAGTAGTACAGAGTAGTAGCACTATGGAAGTAGAAGTACTAGTAATACTTGTACTACTGCTAGACT